TCCTAGTTGTAGAATTTCCACTCAGCCAGCCTTCCCGTGGTTCTGGGTGATGTCCGTTCTGTCCTTTAGTTATATCTCTGAAGTGGTTGTTTGAGGCAGCGATCTCCGGCGTTAACCTATGCCGCCATCTTGGTTTCTCCTCTCATCAATGTTTCTAACTCTCTATCTCTCTCCCTTCCTCTCTGTAAAAAATCAATAAAATATATTTTAAAAAAAAGAAAAAGAAAATTCTCACAGTATAGAAAGGAAAAAAGGGAAAATAAAAGTCTTTCTCCCCCTATGGTCATCTGTTTCCCTAAAAGTAACCATAGCTGTGTGTATTTTCAATTTCATTAACCAACTAGTGGCCTGGTGCACAGATTCATGCACATTGAAAGGAAATTAATTAGAAGAAATATTTTAATATATTTTATTGATTTTTTACAGAGAGGAAGGGAGAGAGATAGAGAGTTAGAAACATCGATGAGAGAGAAACATCGATCAGCTGCCTCCTGCACATCTCCTACTGGGGATGTGCCCGCAACCCAGGTACATGCCCTTGACCGGAATCGAACCTGGGACCCTTCAGTCCGCAAGCCGACGCTCTAGAAGAAATATTTTAATATAGCTATTCGCCCTTTCTTTATAATAGAATTGTCAGAGATGAAAGAAAATTAGTAAAAGGTATATGAAAATAATATATAAATTGATTAATAAATAAACAATAATATGATATAACAACAACAAAGACATGATATAAAAACAACAAAAACATGATATAAAAACAACATTGATAAAAAGAATGACTGATAAATTGATTAAACTTATTCTAATATCTCCCTGTATACCACATTAAGAGTAAAAACACTTTCAGAGTGCTTGACTAATTTCCCTTGTGATGAAGTATTTACAACTTTAACTTTAATGTCACATGCTCTGCCAATAGTTGGTCTTCAGACATATTCTATCTATGATGCCACTTTCTTTCAGCTTCAGAATGTCAACAAAAACAACCCAATTCACAATCGGCAATAACAGATAGAAACACACGTGTGCAATTGGTGCCAGTGAGAGCTTTATAGGTATCGTATATGCATGAGTCAACATTTATTTTTAAATTGCTAGTGTGCTGTCATATGTAATGGCTGGCCAGTTGGTCGGATGGTCAGACAGACATATGGTCGGTCACTTAGCCTTTTATATCCTATACTAGGGGCCCAGTGCATGAAAATTCATGCAAGAGTAGGCCTTCCTTCCCCCGGCTGCTGGCACCAGCTTCCCTCTGGCACTTGTGACCCAGGCTTCCCTCCTCCGGCCACCGGCAGGCACCTGGGACCTGGGCTGGCTTCCCTCAAGCCACCCATAGGCACCAGGGACAGGGGCTGGCTTCCCTCCAGCCCCGGCTTCGTCAGGAAGGATGTCTGGAATGATGTCTGGAAGATGTCTGGTCTAATTAGCATATTACCCTTTTATTATTTTATTTTTTTTAAATATATTTTATTGATTTTTCACAGAGAGGAAGGGAGAGAGACAGAGAGTTAGAAACATCGATGAGAGAGAAACATCGATCAGCTGCCTCCTGCACATCCCCCACTGGGGATATGCCCGCAACCCAGGTACATGCCCTTGACCGGAATCGAACCCGGGACCCTTCAGTCCGCAGGCCGACACTCTATCCACTGAGCCAAACCGGTTTCGGCAACCCTTTTATTTTATTACCAGTGGCCTGGTGCATGAAGTTCGTACATGAGGGGGTGGAGCCTGGCCTGCACCCTCTCCAATCTGGGACCCCTCGGGGGATGTCCAGCTGCCTGTTTGGGCCCGATTCTTGTGGGATCAGGCCTAAACTGGCAGTCGGACATCCCTCTCACAATCTGGGACTGCTGGCTCCTAACCGCTCACCTGCCTGCCTGCCTGATTGCCCCTAACCACTCTGCCTGCCAGCCTGATCGCCCCCAACTGCCCCCCCTGCCAGCCCGCTCGCCCCCAACTACCCCCCTCTGCTAGCCTGCTTTCCCCCAACTGACCCCCTGCAGGCCTTCTCACCCCCAACTGCCCCCGCCTGCCAGCCAGCTCACCCCCAACTGCCCCCCCCCGCCAGCCTGCTCACCCCTAACTGCCCTGCCCTGATGGCCTGCTCGCCCCCAACTGCCCCCCTCTGCCAGCCTGCTTGCCCCCAACTGCCCTCCTCTGCCAGCCTGCTTGCCCCCAACTGCCCCCCCTGCCGGCCAGCTCACCCCCAACTGCCCCCCTGCCAGCCTGATTGCTCCCACTTGCCCCCCCTGCCGGTCTGCTCGCTCCCAACTGCCCCTGCCCCGCTGGCCTGCTCGCCCCCAACTTCCCTCCCGTGCCGGCCTGATCACCCCTAACCACCTCTGCCTTGGCCCCGCCAGCATGGCTTTGTCCGGAAGGACATCTGGAAGGTCTTCCGATCTAATTAGCATATAACCCTTGTATTAGTATAGATAGATAATAAAAGCCTAATATGCAAATTGACCAAATGATGAAGTAACCAGTTGGTGGGGGGCAGGGCCGGTGCCAGGCCAGCCAAGGCAGGTGCCAGCGGGCAGAGGGAGGGGATGGAAATTGGGGGGTCGGGAGGGCAGTGGTGACCAGTGGAGGGGGGTTGGGGGGCGGGGCCGGCCACTTGCCAGCCAGTGCCATCCCCTGATTGGCATGCCAGTTGCCTCCCACAGAGGGAGGCCAGATTGTAGCCTAAGCCATCAGTCGGACATCCCCAGAAGGCTCCCGGACTGCAAGAGGGTTCAGGCCAGGCTGAGGGGACCCCCCCATTGCACGAATTTTCTTATGCCAGGCCTCTAGTATATAGATAAGTGTATTGGGTGCTTGCTTTGTGTGCAGGAAAATGTTTGAGGGCTGAGGTGTTGAGGGCTTAAAAATGCAGAGCCTTTACCTTCTAGGTCTAGGATCTTACAGTCTTTCTGCAGGGAGAACATAAAAGAATTGGGATGTGCTGCAGAGTTCAGAAGTGGGAACCATCACTGTGGGCTGGCAAGGTCAGAAAAGGTTTTCTGCATGAGAGATGCCTTGATGGGAGTTTGGGAACTGGGGCAGGTTTCATTCAGTGGGAGGAGAGTGGCCCTGGGATATAGGGCTCTCTCAGCAGAGGTGTCTAGTTTGCATAATGAAAGGGGCCTTTGAGCAAATGATCAGAAGTGGAGTCTGGCTGAAGTGAGGCTTCATGTTGGAGACCAGGGGGAGGAAAGAATAGAGAAGAGGGGCTTGGCAGTTATAAGAGTACTGAAAGAGTTAGAAGGCATGAGATAATAACTCGGAACAGAAGAACTATGAAGTGAAGAGATTAATTTTGCTAGATATTTTGTTTAGTCTTTCCTTGAATGTGGGGACTGCCTTTGGCTTCCTTAGCATTGTCTGCAGAATCTAGAACTGAGCTCTGCATACAGTGGGTACTACATGAATGTTATTGGTGGATATTACTAATAGCCACCTTGGATGACAATTTTAGAGGGCCTTCTGGACCCCCACCCCCTTTCCACTCACTTATGAAAATCTCTATGTATCATTTTACATACCAATTCCTAACAATTCCAAGCACATTCACTGAGATGTTCCAGGCAAACTGGGACAGTTTTCAGCTCTCCTAGCTTCAGAAAATCTCTGCTGAACCCACCAACTGGATAGTAGCAGTCTTCTCATGTTCTGCTCAACCTAAATTGTCCTCCCTTTTAATTGGTCTTACTCTTCTCTTTTTGCTTCGGCTTCCTTTTGAACTGTGATGACAACGGCACAGCTGGGTTAAAGAATCCAACTAGATAATGCTGAATCTGCAGGGGCTACTTCAACCATACAACTAAGCAACCCAAGATTTCTATGAGTAGATAAAACCCATATGCAATCTGTCACTGTTTAGCTTTCATTGCCAACATAATTCTAAAAAGTTAATGAATAGCTGGTTTAGAGTGGGGGAAAGGCAGAGAATGAATGAGGCCTCTGTTCTGCTTCTTGGCAGGACATTGAGTTAACATGGTGAGCCACTGAGGGTACAGTTGTCATCAGCACTGTAATTATCGAAGTGCTTTTATGAAAGGTTTAGAGCTAAGTCTGCACAGAACTACACAGCTCTGGACCTTCACTTTTAGACCATTTATGGTTTGAGACAAGATATTGATGTGGACACATGCAAGATGGATTCAAATCTTCAATATGGCTTAAATCACACATTATTTGCCACTATCTCTTTTATGGGTTCCTGATTACTTCTAATATGAAATTTATAAAGTAAATATATCTTATCTCCTCTAGAATATTATTAGCTCCTTGAGGACAGAGAATCCAACCTTACCCTCCTTCTACAGATTTGCTGTACAGGACAAATATAGATGTCCAGTAAGGACTGATTAAGTCAACCAGAACCCATGGGTAGAGGCAGAGTACCTTTCATGCTAATGAATTTCATCAAACCTCAGTTTCTTCTTCTATAAAATAGGGATGGTAACTACAGACTTTATGGGGTTATTTTGAGGATGGAGGGGTCAATACATGCAAATTACTTAGCACGTAACCTAGCATTATCTGCTTAAGTATTAGGTATTAATTTAACAATATTAACTTCTGCCTTCTGCTTAAGTAGGAGAGAGACTAAGGAAAAGGGTGAGTATAGCAGCTCTCACACAAAACTGGGTATTCAAGTACGCCTATAGAGGCCGACTGGTCAGTTATCTATGCATTGGAATTGAGGGACAAAAGAGATTTACCCTCTCACATATCTGCATTACTTTTCTGCTCTAACTCCTGAACAGGGATGCTTTGATGTGTTGATGTGTATGTGTCCGTGCGCGCGCGCGCGCCCTAGCCCCCAGTGGGGATTTGCACTGCAACTAACTAAGGCTGGGGCTACAGTCTTTACAGCTGGCACCTTTTCAAGTCTTCATTCAGCAAACATTTTTAGTTAACCCAAACACTGTTAGGTGTCGTCCAATCCGAAGAATAAAGTCGCTTCCTGCATTAGTACGCAGGCGCTGAGCCTCCGTGAGGCGGAGCTAGTCTGGAGGAGCGGAACTCCACCTAGCCCTGTGGGCGGGTGGTGCCAGAGCCGCACATGCGCCCTGGAGCCTGTCCCGTAGTGGGTGCGTCTGTGCTGAGCGCGAAACCGCGGAGATGAAGTAAGACTTCAGCTTCTTTCTGAGAAGGGGGGAAAATGGGGATCGGTTGGGGGCGGGCCGCGGGCGCGGGGGTGACCTACCCGGCTGGGGTGGTCTGCCCGGCCTAGGTGCGGGAGCGGCTCGAATTCTAGAAAACTAGTCCCGGATCAGGCCGCACTTACTTGTCTACTCTTCCACCCCCCTGTGCAGCCCTTTAACGAAAGTGAAGCTGATCAATGAGCTGAATGAGCGTGAGGTCCAGCTTGGGGTGGCGGATACAGTGTCCTGGCATTCCGAGTACAAAGACAGCGCCTGGATCTTCCTGGGTGAGGTTCCCATCTTTCTCCAGCAGTGCTCCTCAGTCTCTACTGCCCTGCTTTCCTAACATGTCAGCTTTTCCTCCCTTCATACATCCCGACATTCATCACCCAATTTTATTTCTTTCTGTTGTCTGCCCATAAATCTGTTTTCCATATTTCTTTTCTCCCCTGTCTAGTTTGCTCTCCCTGCAACTCAGTGCTGTTACCTTTTGCCATTCATTGTACTAAGAGTCTTGCCACTTTCTCAGACCGTTGTCACTATTTGTATATATTTTTTTCAATTACATTTGCCATACAATATTGTATCCGTTTTAGGTGTACACATAGTGATTAGACATTTATAATAACTTACAAAGGGATCGCCCTATTAAGTCTGGAACCCATCAGACACTGTACTTACTTATGACAATATTATTGGCTATAGTCTCTCTTTTTTAAAAAATATATTTTTATTGATTTCAGAGAGGAAGGGAGAGGGAGAGAGAGATAGAAACATCAAAGGTGAGAATCACTGATTTGCTGCTTCCTGCACACCATCTACTGGGGATCGAGCCTGAAACCTGGGCATCCAGCCTGAAACCCAGGCATGTGCCCTTGACCAGAATTGAACCCAGGATCCACAGGCCAATGCTCTGTCCACTGAGCCAAACCAGCTAGGACTTGGCTATATTTTCTATGCTGTATTTCACACCCCCATGACAATTTTGTAACTACCAGTTTGTACTTCTTAATCTCTTTACTTTTTCACCCATCCCCCACTAACCTCCCTTTCCTCTGGCAACCATCAATCTGTTCTCTGTATCTATGAATCTGTTTCTGTTTTGTTTTTTCCATTTTTGTTTTTTAGATTCCACATATAAGTGAAATCTTATGGTGTTTGTGTTTCTCTGTCTCAGATCATTATTACCACCCCTTTCCCCATTATACAGCTGAGGAAACTGAGGCACTGAGAAGTTAATGGTCTTTTTAAGGTCACATAGCTAGTAAGTGGAACAGCCAGAACTATGGGATTCTAGAACTCATGGTCTTAGCCACTATCCCATATTACTGCTAATTCCTTCCTGCCCTAATCCCCTTCCTTCAGAATTCATTTTCCTCACCTGATTAGTTCTGGCCTTCTGTTCATGTTCATATTACCATCTCTCTATTCACTTTGTGTCATATCCAGTAATTTGACAGTTTGTTCAAAGAAGTGATTGCACCAGTCATGGTGCTAAACACTTTATATTCATTGTTTTATTTAATTCTTATAATAGTTCTGTGAGGTAAGTACTAATATCCCACTTTATAGATGAGGAAGGAAACTTGCAGGGGAATTTATTTTCTATGAAATGCTTAACAATTGACTAATCCAGGGTCTATGTGAGGTGGAGTTAATATTTGCATATTTAAACTGATTTTGGATCTTAGTGGTGAGTTTGTAAGGAGTAGATGAGTTTAAGGTACGTTTGTGGAAGCAGAGTTTTGTTCTGGAAACAATCTTCTTTTCCCATAAGAGTTTACGTGTGAGGAGGATTAGTTTGGTTAGTGGCAACTTTGACCTTTCTACTCAGTCACTCCTTTTTCTGTACTATTGTTGCAGTCTATATTCACTTCTGTCATTGCATCAGACTGAGTTCTCTGATGGCAGACCTTGTGGCTTACTCTTTTTTGCACCTTCAGTGCCTGGCCTAGTGCATGGTATTAATAGACACTTGGTAAATGGTAGTTGAACTGAAATGTGGTTTTCTCTTCTAGGAGGACTTCCCTATGAACTGACTGAAGGAGATATCATCTGTGTATTCTCACAGTAAGTCCCCTTTCATGTCCTGCCTTTTTGGTTGTTAGACTAGTTTGCTTCCATAAGGTATTTTTGTGGCATCACAAAAGCCATTTGTTTTCATTCTAGGCTGACTGGCTGGCCTGCATGGTGAGGGCTGGAGCTCCTACTCTAGTCTAGGTCAATCTCAGGACATGGTTCTAGTACTCTCCCAGTGTGGAAAATTCCAAGAAGTTGGATGTTTTAGGAGGCTCTCTTGGGAATTCTGGTCTGTTTTTACTGCTTTTTCACTGAGGATCATTCAGTGTGGGCCTACAGTGGAACAGACTGCAACTCCCAGGAAGATACTATGTTGGCCCATCTCCTTGGGCTCTTATAAACTAGGGGTAATTCATGATCACAGGGCCCTTCTGGGTTCACACCTGTGTGACCTTATAGAATTAGGGCAAAGCACAGCAGAATTGGTGGAAAAAAGCAAAAGGTTTAGGCAGTAGTTTGCTTTCTTTGTTTCTAGATGAGTGTAAGGTTGGTGAGCAGAGTCTTATCTCTTTACCCAGAGGCTGAGAATCAAAGGCTGATGAGGAACACAAATGAATAGGAGAACCTTACATTCTTTGTTCTATGAGATGAGCGCAACAGCACTGGGTGGGAGAGGGTCTTGGCAGCTCACACTGGTAGTGGCAGCAGTGATTTAGGAGAGGGGCTGGGTACAACCCCAGAGCTACACAGAGTGATTAGATAGTCCTTAGAGCCAGGGGGCCTTGGCAGCTCACAGGAACAGAGGTCCATGGCCCCTGGGTTGTGTAGCCATCAGGGGCAGAGGACTATTGCAAAGAAGTCGGATAGCATGTATAGGTAGAGGACCATGGCAAACAGGATATAGCAAGCAAACATAGCCAGCACACCCTGGCAGAGACATTGCCATGGGAGGGGATGGTTGGGGTCACCCCATAGGCAGGAGGCCCTGCCTGAGTTGTTGGGCAGCATTCAGGGCAGAAGGTCATGGGAAAGACATTGGGCAATACATGTGAAAGGGCCATGGTGGAGGGCCTGGGCAGTCTATACAGCAGAGGGCCATGGCAGGGATAGAGGTTGCTTCCTCCAACTTCTGAGCATCAGGAAGTTCACAGAAGGTGCAGCCTATAATGTACCCCTTCATGGTACCTCTATCTGCTCCAGCGTTTCATCTAGGAGCTGTTTTTTGTCTTATTTGCATTGAGTGCTGATCAGCTAGTGTGTGGATTTATTCTAATTCTCTGCTATGGCTACACACATTGCTCCCTCCATGAAGATTGCCTTTGTCATTGATAACAGTGGCTTTCAAAAATAGTTCGTTTTCTGATTATCAAGGTGATGTATAGTCATTATAGAACATTTGGTGAAAAAAGGTATAAAGAAGATAATAGAATGTATTTTAAGGAAAAACTGTTAATTTGGTGTACTTCTTTATCATTTTTTAAAATTGCTGGGCATAATTTCCAATATTTGCTGCTATAAATTATACTGCTATGTTCATTGTGGTATCTATATCTTTGTATGTATTCCTGATGGTTTCCTTGGTGAAATTATTGGATCCATATGTTAGCATTTTTAAGATGTTTTATAAACATTGGATATTGCTCTCCGAAAAGGTTATAGCAATTTCCACTCTCACTAGAATGCCCATTTTCTGACTCCTAATCAGCAATCATTATCTTAAAAATATTTGCCATATGGCTTCTCATTATTATTTTACTTTGCCTTTATTTCATCATCAGTGAGGAGTACATTTTTTCATAGATTTACAAACCATTATTGTTGTTTTTTTTTTGTCAATTGTATATTCATATCCATTGCCTTTTTTTTTCTATTGGTTTGTTCCTCATTTCCTTACTGATTTTATAAGAGCCCTTCATGTATTAATGATATTAACTTTATTATAACACTTTGTCATGTATTGTATTACTATGGACTTATTTTTTTTAAAGTTTGATGTATTATACTACATTGCCATCATTATTATTTCTTTTTTTAATATATTTTATTGATTTTTTTACAGAGAAGAAAGGAAAGGGATATAGAGTTAGAAACATCAATCAGCTGCCTCCTGCACACCCCTTACTGGGGTGTACCCGCAACCAAGGAACATGCCGTTGACCAGAGTTGAACCTGGGACCTTTCAGTCCACAGGCCAATGCTCTATCCACTGAGCCAAACTGGTCAGGGCATCTTGATATTCAAATTGTTCCAATGTGGTCTGTTAGGAGTCCCTTCAAGCCAGTTTCTGTATTCCTTTTTTCTTTTGAAAGAATTTCAGGCTTAAAACTTAAAAGTTATAAAATAGTATGAAGAATACTTTTATCCCTTTTACTCAGAGCTCCCAGATGTTAGCATTTTACCATATTTGCTTTATTGTTATTTCTTTCCACGTATACATATTATTTTTTTCTGAACTATTTGAGAGTCAGTTGCAGACATGATGCCCATTTATTCCTAAATTCTTCAATGTGTATTTCCCAGAACACAAGGACATTCTCTTGTTTAATCTCAGTATAGTGATCAAATTCAGGAAATCAACAACAACACAATATTATTATCTAAAGACTTTATTCAGCTTCACCAGTTATCCTGATAATGTTCTTTATAGCAAAAGGAAAAAAATAGCTTTCTGGTCCTTATCTGTGATATAAATTGCAAATAATATTTTCTCCTAGTTTGTCATTTGTCTTTTGACTTTACTTATTGTGATTTTTATGCTATGCAGAATTATTATTTTTATGCATTCATTTGTAAATTATTTTATGCATTCATTTGTAATAATGCTTAAATTATGGTAAAATTGACTTTTTAGGAATTTTAATACATTTATAGATTTGTGTAATCACCCCCACAATTAGGATGAAGAACAGTTCCAAAATCTCCCTCATGCTGTCACTTTATAGTCTCCCCCTCTAGTATTCTATGTGGCCAAATTTATCAGTCTTTTTTTTATTGCTTCTGGATTATGAGTCAAAATTAGAAAGTATTTCTCCCTACCCAGCCATCTGTGTTCTCATCTAGTATTTGTGTGGTTTCAATTTTATGCATTGAAATCTCTGATCCATCTATAGTTATATAGTGTAAGATAAGGATCCAATTTCATGTTTTTTTTCAAGTGGCTATCTAATTGTCCCAACAACATTTATAAAAATGCCCATATGTTCCCCAGCAAAGTGGGATGTCACCTTTATATATAATTTTTCCATATATACATGAGTTTCATTCTTGGTTTTCTATTCTGTTCTATTGGTCTGTCTGTCTCTTCATGTGGCAGTAAAGCACTAATTAATCATAAAAGCTTTTTAGTGTATTCAATATCTGGGAGAGTTACTCCTAACTATTGTCCTTTTTTAAGGTTTTCCCAGCTATTATGTTCATTTTTCCACAAGGACTTTAGAATAACTTACCTAGCTCCAAAGGGAAAAACAAAACAAAGCACAACTTGAATTTTAAATTGGGATTACATTAGATTTCAATATTAACTTTGGGGAAGATTTTGATATCTTTATGATGTCGACTCATCCTATCAAAGAACAAGTGATGTCTTTATATTTGTTTAAATCTATATTTGTATATTTCAGGAGTTTTAAAAAGTTTTCTTTAAAAAGACTTTATACATTGATTATATATCTTCTAACTGAATGTTGCTTGTATGTGAAAGGATAATTTATTTTTGTTAACTTAATATCCTGTTACCTTACTAAATTGTTATAGTTTGTTATCATTGTTTATCATTGATTCTCTTGGGTTTTCTGTATATATTACTATATATAATCTTAAAACAGAGACAGTTTTACTTCTTTTTTTCATTTCTTATATCTATTTTCTGCTAATTTAATTGGCCAATACCTACAATGTTAAAAAGTGTTAAATAATTCCTGATCTTAGTTTAATCATCTCTTCTAATTTCTTTTTAAAATTCTTAGTTTAATTTTTTAAAAGAGGTTTTTATTGATTTTACAGAGAGAAGAAGGGAGAGGGGAGAGGGAAATGTGAAAGGGAAACATCAATCAGCTGCCTCCTGCACTCCCCCTACTGGGGTTTGAGTCCACAACCCCGGCATGTGCCCTGACAGGGAATCAAACCAATGACCTTTTGGTGCATGGGACAATGCTCAATCAACTGAGTCATACTGGCCAGGGCTCTGGTAATTTCTATTAAGTAAGATGCTAGATTCTGGGCCCAGATGTATGTACTTGATCATGTTATATAATGTATCCATCAATTCCCATTTTAATTTTATGACTTTATTTTTTAATTTGTGATGCTTTAACTTATCTGGAATTTACCTTTGGATAAGGAGTAAGGTAGAGTTTTATTAATTCTCATCTGCTTTCCTTAGATTTGCTTTCTTGGTTTTAGCTACATCCCATACGTTTTAGTATATATTGTTCTCATTTTTGTAATTTTCTAAATAGTCTGTCATTGACTTTTTCTTTACTTTGTTTCATTTCCTCTTTCATTAATTAGCTAGACAGTGGCCGGCAAACTCATTAGTCAACAGAGCCAAATATCAACAGTACTTCTTCAAAATAGATTCGCCCAGGCCGAAAACCAACTTCTGCCAATGGGCCACGAAGTTTCAATTGCACTGTATGTGCGCCTGCACGTGGTATTTTGTGGAAGAGCCACGCTCAAGGGGCCAAAAAGCCACATGTGGCTCATGAGCCGCAGTTTGTCGACCACGGAGCTAGGAGAGTAGGTTGCAAGTTCTAAGTTTACTTTGAGACCTATGCTATAGTCAATTTTTTTAGAATATAATTTTTTATTGATTTCAGACAGGAAGGGAAAGGGATATAGAAACATCAATGATGAGAGAGAATCATTGATCGGCTGCCTCCTGCACACCCCCACACTGGGGATCAAGCCCACAACCTGGGCATGTGCTCTTGACTGGAATCAAAACCGGGACCCTTCAGTTCGCAGGCCAACGCTGTATCCACTGAGCCAAACCAGCTAGGGCTGCTATAGTGAATTTTAATACATGTTTCAAGGATTCTTGAGAAGAAATTGTCATCTTTTTATAAGATTTAAATATATCTCTATATCTACTAGTCTGACATTAATATTTGTTAACAATTTAACTTATTAATTACATGTTTACTTGTATTTATGTTACGTAACTATATATCAATTATATTAACTCTCCTGACCTTTTTTTGTCAACTTTGTGTTATAAATTTAAAGTGGTATGTTAAAATCTCTCATAACGTTCATTATGTTTCTCTTTGTATTTCGAAATTTCATAATTAAAATTTTTTGATTTGCCAATTTGCACATAAAATTTCATGACTTGTACTTTTATTATGTATTAGAACCTTTTTGGGGGCCTTGAATTCATATTCAATCTTAATATTACCACCCACTTTTTAATTGGGTGTTCTTGTTATATCCTTGTCTAACTTTTACCCTTTCCATGCTATCTTGTTCTAGATATGTGTCCTGTACAGATTATATTATTTGAATTTTATTTTGTCATCCAATATGAAAATTTTTGCAATTTAAATTAATATGTTTTACTCTTTTATAAAATAAATAGATATGGGGAGATCGTTAACATTAATCTGGTGCGGGACAAGAAGACTGGGAAATCCAAAGGATTCTGTTTCCTCTGCTATGAAGACCAGAGGAGCACAATTCTGGCTGTTGACAATTTTAATGGGATAAAAGTGAGTTTGCTTACTAAGCAGGATTTGGCTGGACTTTTACCATCTAGGGAAGCGGTTCTCAACCTGTGGGTCGCGACCCCTTTGGCGGTCCAACAATCCTTTCACAGGGGTTGCCTAAGACCATCCTGCATATCAGATATTTACACTATGATTCATAACAGTAGCAACATTACAGTTATGAAGTAGCAACGAAAATAATTTTATGGTTGGGTCACAACATGAGGAACTGTATTTAAAGGGCCAGAAGGTTGAGAACCACTGATCTAGGGGTTTGATTTCATTACACATCTGATCTCCACAGGCTCAAGGACAGTCTTGTCAGCTGAGTATTTTGTCAGGGTTGCAGAGGTATGGGGACATACTGACCAACAAATGATCCCAGGAAATAATTCCATTGGCTCATGATCCTTCCATCCTATTCCTTTTTCCCATCTCATAGCAACTTATCTCTCTAGGAGCATAGATACCATGCCTCCCCCCAACCCCACCCCAAACCTCTTTTTCTCACGTTTTTCTCCTCACACTGCACTCTTACCTCAGGTGTATTGGAAAACAAAGAGACTAACAAACACTGCCCTTCCATGCTGTCCTGTGTTAGGGGATTTGGTGCTCTATCGTGGCTGCATGACCTAGGACATAGCTGTCATATGCCTCTACTGACTTAGCAATCAATACTGGGCCCTGGATATTCTCTAGGTAAAAATCTAATGACAAATTCTACAAAAGTAACTCATTCTGAAGTTTTTTGTCCTTCTTTCCTCTAATACCAGCTCCTATAAGTGAGACATTGGGCTGAGGTCAGGCATACCTATGCACCACATGGTCCCCTATGCTCATTTAGGAAAAGCATTGCAGTTGAACGAGCATTGTCACAGGCTGGCAGTTGACACTTGACTTGGAGAGTTTGTCACTGATTGTGCCGGAATTGAACAGTTGGAAACTATAGGGCAGGGTGGAACAAGGTTCCACGCTTGATTTTTAAGAGAGCCAGCAGTCAAAGGGAGTCACTATAAAAGGAATGTTTTCAAAGATGTTTTGAAATGGGGAACAGGATAGATGACAGAAGCTGCTTAGGCCAAAGATAAGAATAAAAACCTGCTTTTGTATTAGAATTATAAAAGCCAGATATTTTTCAAATTTCAGATGGCCCTGCCTACAGAATAAGTCTGTATCTGTCTGAATATTTTTGTTTTAAGTGAGGGGTTAATGTTTTTGTTGCTCACCGTGAGAGTGACTTCAGTGAAAGTATTAGTGTGAGCCAGTTGTTCTGGTAGGGTGGGAGTGGGACAAAGTGTGAGGGCTTAAGAAAAAAGATAGTGGTCTTTTCAGGACTGGATGAAATAACCAAGTGGTTGAATAGAGCTAGGAAAAAACAACAAAATAAAACAACACAATGATCTTTCTAGATTCCTCCCCCTCCCAACTGTTGGCCTGCCTGAGCCTCATTCTAATTGCTTGTCAAGGAAGCAGCTGTAGCATTGGGCTTGATTTCAGGAATTTCTTCTAGCTGCCATGGTATATTTCACTATAAATTATTGTTACAGATTGAAGGTTATTCAGTGTGCATATAAATTATGCACTTTTCTCTGCTGCTTGTGGGCAGAACTTCCCAGCCTTTTTCACTTCACAGCACATGTAAAACATTAAGATATTTGTATGGCACCCTGGGGTAAGCTGAGGAGGCTACCTAGTGCAACTGCCCCATGGGGTCCAGCTGCCCCAGGCCACACTGGCTGTCCTGAGAGCTGAGCGAATTAATATCTAGGTATATGTGCATGACACACCAGTTGGGCAGGTCTGTTTTAGAGATTTTCCAGAAATAGAATTAGCAGGAAGGTAATGGGTATAGTTCAAACCATGGTTCTCTGCAGCTGAGTTCAAATAGTTTGGTAGGAGTGATGTCTTTGCTGAAACATTGCCTGTCTATCTTAGATTAAAGGAAGAACTATCCGAGTGGATCATGTGTCTAACTATCGGACTCCTAAGGAGTCAGAAGAAATGGATATTGTGACCAAAGAGCTCCAGGAGAAGGGCTGTGGGGCTCACACCCCCTCATCAAATTCATCTGAGGGCTCTGAAGAGGACAAACCCACCAAAAAACACAAAAAAGGTAAAGCGTTATGACCTAAGAGAAGATTCTGGGTAGTGTTAGTATTTGATCTGCATAGAATTGGGCATTCACTGAGACTTGATAATGAATTCTTATGTGTGGAGGGAGGGGGAGATGTGGAGAACCTTACTTTAATTGGGAAAAGAGAGGTGGTATCATCAGAAAGCTAGTGTTATGGGTTGCACTGTGTACCTTGAAAATGCATGTTGAAGTCCTAACTCTAGTATCTCAGAAAATGACTGTATTTGGATCTTTAAGAGGTAATTAAGGGTGGGAATTTCCTTATGCAGTGACTTGACATATCAAGGGTGACAGATCCAACTTGGCTTCCCAGAGGCACTTTTCTGGAAGGATAGATTGACTGCTTGATGCTACTGCCAAGGATGCTTTCCTTTTGCATATCCCCCATCTCCTCCATTTCCCTTTTCTTTTCTTTTTTTTAAAATATATTTTTATTGACTTCAGAGAGGAAGGGAGAGGAAGATAGAAACATAAATGAGAGAGAATCATTGATCGGCTGCCTCCTGCACACCCCCTACTGGGGATTGAGCCTGCAACGTGGGCATGTACCCTGACCTGGAATCGAACCATGACCTCCTGGTTCATAGGTCAATGCTCAGCCACTGAGCCACGTTGGCCAGGCGATTTCCCTTTTCTTATTGATTGTACCCCCTTTTTCCCTCCAGACAAAAAGGAAAAAAAGAAAAGAAAGAAAGACAAAGAGAAGACTGATCAGGAGGAACCGGCAGAGCAGCCAGCCTCCTCTTCAACTCCTAGAAGCAAGATGATAAAGGAAAAGGACGACCCTGGCTCTAAAAAGCACAGCAGCAAGAACTCAGAGAGGGGTCAGAAGCCAGAGTCTAGGGAGGTGTGGAAGCACCACCCCAGCTCCCCTGAGGTCAAGACAACCTGCCGCGGGGGAGTAGAGGACCATGAGCAGGAGCTGAAGAGGGAGAAGCCCAAGTACGAGCACAAGTCCTCAAGCAGGAGGGAAGAAAGAGAAGAAAAAAACAGGGATAGGGACAGAGGTCGAAGCTCAGACATACATTCTGGCTGGCACGAGGGGCATTCTGAGGGACATAGCCGTAGAAGTAGAAGTAGAAGTAGGAGCCGAGATAAATCCCATAGACCTAAGAAGGCCCGGCACTCTCGAGACCTGGACCCCTCAAATCCCAATGACCGCAGGCATCACTGAAGCTGAAGCCTGGGCAGCTACTCAGTGGAATTAGAAATGAACTACATTTTTAAAATTCAGTCAAATTCAATTATGCTTTATTGTTTCTGTATGTAAAATCTCTGAGGTTTCATTCTTTAATCCCTTGAGTATTAGAGTTATTGAGAGTGCAGTAATTTCAACAGCCAAATGTCCTGGAGTTTGGCTGATTTAAAACTTTTAAAAATATATATTTTTATAGATTTCAAAGAGGAAGGGAGGGGGATAGACAGATAGAAATATCAATAATGCGAGAGAATCATTGATCGGCTGCCTCCTGCATGCCCCACACTAGGGATCAAGCCTGCAACCTGGGGATGTGCCCTGACCAGGAATTCAACTGTGATCTCTTGGTTCAGAGGTCGACACTCAACTACTGAGCCACACCGGCTGGGCTGTGCTAGAGTAGAGAAGGATGGCTTCACTAGGTTTAGACAGCTTGATGTGAATGTGATAATGATTCATAACATCAGCTTGCTCCTGCCCCACCCCTTCCTGCTTTTGAAAATTTAAACATCTTTTGCTTTTTTTGGTTGATAAATGTCTCCGCATTTTTCCCTTGCAATTTATTTATTTACTAGAGGCCCAGTGCATGAATTCGTGCATGGGTGGGGTCTGGCCAGCCTGGCCCCAATGGGAGCAAATTGGGGCTGGGCCTGTCAGGAGGAGGAGATGGCAGGAGGTTGGCCAGCTGGGCCAGCTGGGGGAAGGGGCCACAGGCGATTGGCTGGTGGGCCCCACCCCTGATTGGTGTGTGTGTGGGTGATCAGGGGCGGAGCTGGCTGGGGGGGCTGGCTAGGGGGAGGGGCTGCAGGCTGATCGGGGTACGGGGTGGGGGGGTCGTGGGTGGTTGGCCAGAGGCCCCACCTCCAGATTGGGCCAGTTTGCTGGCTGCAGTGGGCATCATAGTGGCCAGTCTTACCGGTCATTATGGCGTTCTGTTCGTTGGCCTGGAGTTTGGTTGACTTTATGACTCCAATTAATGAAATGTCCAGGAAAGAGGAAATACCAGGTATATATATTTTTATTGAGGTGAAATTCACGTAACATAAAAGTAACCATTTTAAAGGGAACAATGTGGCATATTCACAGTGTTATCTAGTTCCAAAACATTTTCATCACCCTACCATGAAACCCTGTACCCATTAAGCTGTTATTCCCCATTTCCTCCTCCTTGTCCCTGGCAACCACCAGTGTGCTTTCCATTTCTATGAATTTACCTATTCTGGACATTTCATATAAATGGAGTCATACAACATGTGGCCTTTTGTGTCTGGTATCATTCACTTATGTTTTCAAGGTTCTTCCATGTTATAGCAGAGAAGTACTGAATTCCTTTTCATGACTGAATAGGATCCCATTGTGTGGATATACCACATTTTGTTTATCCTTTCCTCAGTAGGTGGACATTGGGTTGGTTAGCCAGCTCTCTTTTCTTTTTAAAAGAGGTGACATTGATTAGTAAAATTAAACAGGTTTTAGGTATACAATTCTACAATACATCATTGGTATATTGCATGGTGTGTTTACCACCCCAAGTCAAGTCTACTTCCATCACCATTTATCCCCCTTTATTTTCTACTTTCCCTGACCTCCCTTCCCTCTGGAAATCATTGTACTATTGACTGTGTCCATGAGTCTTTCTTTTTTTTTTCTTTGCTTAATCCCTTCACCCTTCTCACCCAGCTCCCAACCTCTTCCCCTCTAACAGCTGTCAGTCTGTTCTCTGTATCCATGAGTCTGTCTCCACTTTGTTAGTTTATTTTGTTTATTATATTCCACATATAAGTGAAATCATATGGTACTTGTCTTTCTCCCTTTCCATGCTCCAGACATATCAGGCTACTTCAAGGTGTAGTCTGCTTTTCAAGGAGCTGCTCTTGCTGAGATGGGAACACTGTCTACTCATTGCATATCTATATGGTCTACTTGGCAGTTCTTTCCCATTTTGAGAGTGTTGTCTTTTTGTTTTAGCAATCAGTCATTTATGAGTTGGTAGGAACTAGTTCACAGGATCTTAGCACCCCTGCTGAATTATTACAATTGATTTTCTATCCTACAAAACAAGACTAGAGCTTTAATGGTGAATGCACTAAGTTAGGTTCCCTGGTGTGTTAGTTGGCTACTAGATTAGATGTGCAAGAGATTTTGGGGGGTGGGGGGGAATGTCCAAGAGGGAAAATGAAGAGGGAGCTGGAGGAGTCTGGGAAAGTTGTCCGACTGATGTAGGTGTGACCTCTGGAGAAGAGGGAAGGAAAGAGAGAAGGTTGGGTAGGAAAAGTCCTGTACTGCTGTGGAGTTCTAAGAACATTTTAGCAGGACCAGTGGGGTGTGTCCTTGAGCCAAAATTACCTGTTAGAGGAATTCTACTAGATCAGCCTTGTTAAGCAGGACCTTCATCAGCCATGTGACCACTTCGCTTGTGTGTCCATTGTGCCACTTGTTTGGTAGCAATTAATGAAGGTCCATTCATCTGCCTGAATCATTTTGTCTGCTTGGTGGCTTAGAGCATCTTCCATGGTGGATGCTCTCTAATAGGTGTTAGCGTTTGATGCAGAAATCTCCACACATGTCAGTCCACAGCCTTTACACCAGACCTCTTTGTCTCTAATCTTCCAGCCCTTTTCCTTCCAGGCTAAATAGACTGCCAGGCCATTCACTACTGCCCAGGAATCTATATATTCAATAGTCTCATGTCAGACCACTTCTAAACCAAGTCAAATGCACTGCTTGTGTTTCTGTTCATTGGAAAAATTTTCTTCACCCCTGAATGTGGCTATAATGCAGATACTATCCATCTTCACTTTGCACTCACAAACTGAGCTGACCCATCTGTAAACCAAGCTGAAGCTGATCTCTCCTTAATCTGGTCATATAGGAACTCCCAAATAAGTTTTCAGTAGTGGCACTGATCTGCTCCATATCCCCTGGGATGTTATTTATATACTAGAAGCCTAGTGCATGAAATCCGTGCACCAAGCCGGGGGGTGTCCCTCAGCCAGGCCTGAGCCCTCTTGCAGTCCAGGATCCTTTGCTCCTTAATACCCACTTGCAGTGGAGGCGGGAGAGGCTCCTGCCACTGCCCCTGTGCTCACCAGCCATGAGCCTGACTTCTGGTTGAGTGGCGTTTCCCCTGTGGGAGTGCACTGACCACCAGGGGGCAGCTCCTGCATTGAGCATCTGCCCCTTGGTGGTCAGTGTGTGTCAATTTGCATATTAGCCTTTTATTATATAGGATAGCAAAGAATAGATCTTATGCAATTGTAGGGATTGGTGAGGCAAATCTGATATTTATAAGGCAGGCTGGAAACTCATGGGCAGGAGCTGACACTGCAAGGAAATCTCAATTGTGCTGTTAAGGCCTTTGACTGATTGGATGAGGCCCACCCAAATTATCCAGGCTAATCTACTTTACTTAAAATCAACTGATCGTAGATGTTAATCTACAAAATACCTTCACAACAACACCTGAGTTAGTGTTTGATTGACTAATTGGATGCTATAGCCAGTGGTTCTCAACCTTCCTAATGCCGCAACCCTTTAATACAGTTCCTCATGTTGTGGTGACCCCCCCAACCATAAAATTATTTTCGTTGCTACTTCATAACTGTACTTTTGCTACTGTTATGAATCATAATGTAAATATCTGATATGCAGGATGTATTTTCATTGTTACAAATTGAACATAATTAAAGCATAGTGATTAATCACAAAAACAATATGTCATTATATATGTGTTTTCTGATGGTCTTAGGCGACCCCTGTGAAAGGGTTGTTCGACTCCCAAAGGGGTCGTGACCCACAGGTTGAGAACCCCCGGCCTAAGCCAACTTGACACCAGAAAGTAACCATCACAATTTACTCTCATTGATGGTGATAGGGGGGCAATTTTAGAGGTTTCCACTTGGCTTTCCTCATTGTGACAGCTCTTAACCTATAGGCTAGGGGTGGGGAACCTTTATTTCTGCCAAGGGCCATTTGGATACTTAAGATTATTCACAGGCCATGCAAAATTATCAACCTAAAAATTATCCTGCTATATCTGGTCAAACATTTAATTAACTCACCATTAATGCCTTGGCAGGGCCAGACCAAATTATTTCATGGGCCTTATATGGCCCAGGGGCTGGATGTTTCCCACCCCCGCTGTATGACAAGAACCCATTTGGTAGTTACTCTCAACTGTCAGCTCAATTCCAGTTACACACTTAAGGACTGGGAAATAACCACTGGTTAGGCCTGCAGGGCCACTGTGAGACCTATTTTAGCCAGAACTTCAGTTATTCAGCCCTCAAAGCCCCTAGTCTAACAAGGGCCATGATGATGCTTTGGGTCTCTGGTATCAATGGCAACTTTGATTTTGAGTCCAGTGTGCCTCAAATGTCTGGCTGTTTTTTCTCCAGTGTATACATAGCCAAGTGAGTGGCTATAGGTCCTTTTGGGAGAAGCACTAGGGAAATCATCACCTACTTCAGTGCCCTTCCTCCTAGGGACCCAGCTATATCTTCCAGATCTTGAAATGGGATGAAGTCTGGATATTGAGCAAGGAATTAGGACTTTTTATTGGGAAAGCCTTCCTCAACCCCTTGCTCCTCTGCTCATGTCTTTTTCAGCTTGTTGGCTGTATGTCTGTATTGTTCCTAAGGGTACCACGGCCCACTTGCCCTCTCCACAACTCCCTGTGGGTAAAACCCCCTTGGAAGTCCTTCAGACATGGTTCATTTTGGTATTTGTGGTCTCCTGGCTTCTGGTGAATAAGCACCTCTACCTAGTGTCCATTACTATGGGGTCCCAGCTCTGTGATGGTCTCTTACTGCCATCCCTAGCCTGCAGAGGAGGACACTTCTGGATGTAGTGATGCTGGTGCCCCTTTCACCAGTGCCTTCCTGATCGAGTTGGTGAATAGTGTGTCCTCTGGGTCCTCCTGTGGAACAGGATGCTCTGGTGCACTTTTCAACCTCATAATTATCCACTCTATTATGCCCACTTCCTTCTGCCTTTTCATTCCTTTTTTTTTTCATCTTCTTTTTTGGCCATTTGTAAGGAAAACTCAGGTATTTCTACTTTGTTCAGTGGTGGCCATGATTTTCTCTGGGCCTTTAAGGGCCACCTTGGTAGAGATTTCTCACCCCCTCTGGTTGTTGCCAGGGCATTAATCCTCTGTTCGAAGAAAGTGCTCCTAAGTCTATGAAGTCTCACTTTCTTGGCCCTCTTAATATAGCACCCTCAAAATCCAAACCCAGTGTTTCCTTGGCTCCCGGCAATACCTGCCAGCTAATTGTTGCAGCTCTTCAGGATATACTCTTCTTTATTAGGCCCAGGCGCTTCCCCAGCGATGCTACGCTGGGATTTAACCCTAGTTATCAGCTTAGTTAATGAGAGGGAGGAGCATCAGAGGGAGAAGCGGTTTCTGCAGCATCTACCAACACAGGGCAAGTGCTAGCTCTTACTAGAGAAGAGTGGCCAGATGTTCCCACCCCATGTTTCAGGGTCCCAGGATTTTCCAACCACATGAAATCCTGTTGTCCTGACTTCAGCAAAGCAGACCTGCAACCT